TTCTGTAAAGGATGAAACCATGAGCTTCTTTTCTTTCCACATCTGGCTGTTTACAAGGGTTGCCAGATTTACGCTAAGGCCAGTAATGATTTTTTTTTTTAAATTTATTTTCAACAGCTATATTTTGAAGAACTATGATATCCAGTATTTTTCCATGAGGGATATTGATCGCCTTGGAATTCAGAAAGTTATGGAAAGAACATTTGAACAACTGATGGGCAGGTAACAAACTAGTATCTGATTTAAACTACTCTTATCATCCACTTGTTGAATATCTACTTTGATGAAAGTTAAGTGAAGACCCTTGTAAGGCAGCCTAACAGAACTGTGACAGTGTCCAGTAAACAGTAAAGTCTTAGCACTGACTTTAGTCCTCAACTTCCACATCACAGTGTTTGGCAAAAAGCTACCAGATGATAGGCTATGTTAGTCGCTACAGTTGTGGCTCTCTTTATATGATTTGTTCTGTTTCTTGATGAATTGTGCATTTTGCTGCAGTTTGAACAAGACATTTGAGTCAGTTCAGTCTCTAGGGTATACATTATACTTAAAAAAAAGTATAGCAGCTTGACAGTAACTTGAATCCAGCTGTTAGTACATGAGGTAGAAGCATTTGATGGCTTCCTCCTTAGACTGTAATGTCCTGATGACCACAGCCACTTTTGGTTCAGCTAGTGAAGTTCACTGCAACCACTCCTTTACTTAAGTTCAATACTGAAGTCTTCGCTAAGCTTATTCAAGTTTGGGGAACCAGATCAGGGAGCAAATCATGCTAGTCCAGGGACACAGGGAGAGGATCCGAGTCAGGAAGGGTACCTCTCACCACAGGGTAGAACATAGTCCTGTAAGCAGAACAAGGTCCATGTATCTGTGCCGCATGCTGTTGTATCTAAAGGTGTGCTCACCCTTCTTAGCTGCAGCTGTGCCAAGTAAAGTTGCTAGTCCAGATGCTTCTCTCTACTGAGTATTTGCAGTAAGTTGGAAGAGTACAGAGTCTACCACTTACATAGCTCATCTGAATGACAAGCATTGTCCAATTTATTAAGCTGTCATTGGTTGCCAGACTTCACATAGTAACTAACATTTTCGGTTTGAGATTGTGCTTTACTTTTTCATCAACTAGGCTTACATGGTAGAGTTTGGAGGCAGCCTTCGACTATTGACCTGAAAAATGCCCCATTCATCTTGATGAGTTGTCTCTGAAATCCTCAAGCTTGGTGCTTTCTCCATCCTAGATGCCATGCAAACCAACATTTCAGCCTCTCACCCTGGCTTTCTGTACAAAAGGAGAAAAGGCTGGATTATATCATGCATTTCTCTGTATCTTTCCAACTAAGGAGACACATACCAGATAAGATGGTTAGAACTAAAGCATTTCTCTTCAGCCAAATCATACCTGAGCAGATGCTCAGTACAACTAGAAGGACAAACTTTTATTTTCCCAGTGTGTACTGGGGAAAGTTCTGAGCCAAGAGATGTTTCAGAGTCCGAAATTATTAAACACCAAAACCCTTTCCAAATGTGTTTAAGATATGGTATAGGACCTGGTAGTAGCATGATGCTACTTTGCTGATCAGCCTGGGCAGTAAGCAATACAGGCAGAAAAAGCTCAAGTTCTGAGATTTGCTTTTCTTTTATCCTGTCTCAGGAGCCAGAGACCAATTCACCTCAGTTTTGACATTGATGCTTTTGATCCTTCACTGGCTCCAGCAACTGGGACTCCTGTTCTAGGTGGATTAACTTACAGAGAAGGCATGTACATTACCGAGGAAATACACAACACAGGTAGGAATTGAGTCCAGTACTGCCGCTAAGATAAGGGTGGGACAAACTCCATAGAGCTCATCTTGGTTGTAGCCAAAGCGAAGGTGCCTACAAAGTCCATTCAACCTTCAGTAAGGGAAAAAGAAGCCCTATGGTTGGGCAGTACCCCAGGTGTTGGAAGCAGCTTAACCATCAACAACTTACCAAAAGCAAATAAAATAAATATATAATACATTAACTAATGCCAACAAAATGACTTGGTCATCTTATATAATACTGTCCCCTATTCCTAAACACGAGGTGAATAAAAAAAATGGGTGCAAACAATTTTCAACAGTTTGAAGTTCCATTCTAGAATTCAAGGCTAACAAACTGAGCTTTCACTAGGTATACTGCACTTGACTCAATATATGAGGACTTTCCTCCTTATGCCACAGAGATTTTATTTAATGTGTTTAAACAATGAGGAGTTTGCAGTGAAAGAAGGGAAGAAGCCAACCAGAAAACAGAGTCAATAGAATCATGAATAGGATGGCAAAAAAACCACTAGGTGAGACTATTTTATATTCTCTAACTTTGGACTGGGAGAAAACAAACAAGATGAAAAAACATTCCTCTCATAAGTGCATACGGAACATCAAACCTATTTTTCCTGAATGCTAAACGCATGAATGAGTGAGGTACTGACAACATAAAGAACCAAATTAAAAACACAAACTTGCGTCTAATAATGATAACCTCATCCCTCACATGAGAGCCAATTTTACTTGTCTAAGGGGTAGAGTAAGGTCACAAGCTCAAATATCAGAGGTGCTGCAAAAGACACCCTAGTGGAGATTTTACCCTTTTTCACAGTAACAAAGCTGTACATCATTTTCACAGGAATGCTTTCAGCTGTAGACATGGTCGAAGTCAATCCACTGCTTGGAGCTTCTCAAGAGGAAGTGAATGCAACTGCTAGTCTTGCAGTCGATGTCATAGCAACGTGCTTTGGACAGACAAGGGAAGGAGCACACACTGCTTTTGATGAACTCCCAACACCCAGTTCTCCAGATGAATCTGACAGTGAAGAGCAAGTCAGGATTTAAGAACCCAGCGTGTTTGGGTACATTGGACATTATAGAGCTCCGCTGAGGCACTTGAGTGGGTAGATTGTCAACACTCGGCAAATACTGTTAACTTCTCAATTTTTAAATAAACTAGCTTTTCCACTGACTGGTGGCTACTTTATTACATACCAAGATTTATTCATTTGGTTAGGTATATACAACTTGAGACAATAAAATATTTATTACCTCTTATTACTCTTACCAGTAGTTCAAGTCTGTCTGCATTTTCCTTTTACTCCCAGTCTCTGTTTTTCTAGTGTCAATACAGTTTCAACAGAACATGCTCTCTCAGGAGACAGTGCAATCCTCAGAGGCTCGCAGGGAACAGACAGGCCATCCGCTTCCTCAACAGTGGAAAAGCTCATCTCAGTCCTGAAGATTCATCTGCTGCGAAAGAACTTGTAGTAGACCACACCTCCTAGGATGGCAAGTTCCAGGATGATGATAATTGACAGCAAGAACTTATTTGTGGTTACTCTGGAGTTAAAAAATAAAAAAACAAAGATAGCTTTTTTTCCCCCCCTTGATTATGAAAGCAGATTCTAGCTAATTTGATCACCATCTTACCTTCAATAAGTATACTCTCTGTTTTAGCTAGACCACAAAGTGCTATTCAAATAGCTCTTACCAAGCAGGAAGGCACAAACTCCTTAGTTTCCTACTCATGCTTTCCTGGAACTTCTGCTTAAATCTTCAACAATAGCAGTTCTGTTCCTCTTCCCCTACCTCACATAAGAGCAGAATGATCTGCTCTCTGTGCACCTACTCAATCAGTTAAGTGAAGAAGACACCACCAGTTGAACTCCAGTGCTAAAACCCACACTGTGGTGCTTTTACCTGGAACCATGTAGTGGAAGTACAGCTATAAAATCTCAAAATAATAATGTACTTTTACTACCAAAAATGATACAGTTATCATAACCTCCTTTAGCAATGGGTATAAAGGAAAGGCTGTTACACGTGAAGTACCTACTGGAAACTTCTGCCATGAACTGATTTATAAGGATGCTTAAACCCTGTAGTAAAGAAACTGTAAATACACTTAAGCAGCCAAAGCTTTAGTCATCAAAAGAAGTGTATGGTCAGGCCCAGAGTTTCTCATATGACAGCCTAGCTACTCTTCGGCATTACTACAGGCTAAAGAGATTTGTCTGTGTCATCAGACGGCTAACTAACTTACTTAACGCGGCAGTGATTTATGGCATAGCTTTTTCCAACCTGAATAACAAGTAGTTGCATCTAAAGTTACCATTACCATCCCGCTGTAACTTGCTTCTGTCCTCACCATAATTTACCATGCGAGATGGTGAGAGACCCTGTATTAGCCTAAATGACCAGTGCAAATTCAGTAGCATCATTACGTCATTCCCAGAGAGGAGAAAACACAAATTGGCATCTGCATGTGGGCACACATTCTGTTTACATGTTCCCTAAAGCCTCCCTGCAGTTCCAGCTGACGCTCTGTTCCTTATTTTGTGCATGAAACCAGCAGCCAACGATGCCAAGTGCCACTCTTAAGTCAGCCACGCTACTTACCTCCTGGACATAGAACGTAGAATCTTGCGACTCTTGCTCAAGTTCTCACTTGTATTCACCAACTAATAAGAAACAAAAGTGATCTGTCAGCTGAACGAGTACACAGCAACTCTGTAAAGATACACCAGGAAGTAGCTACTGTTGAAATGTGGCAATTAATAACAGGACAGAAGCTAACCATATATTCTCAAAATTCAGTGACTGCTTTGTTCTCCATGCATGATCCAAGCTGGAAGCACTGTCTCCTTTCTAAGGAGGAAACAAGACTTTAATGTATACTTTCCCTTAGATACATACAAAGGTACACAATTTAGGATCAGTTTCTGCCCCTTCAGTTAATCTGAAGGGGCAAATACCAGAAATTAATTACTCAAATTAATTAATTAATTACTCAAGTTAATTACTCAAAAACAAATACCAGAAAGTTGGTAGTAGCTCCTTTCATTAAATTTATTTTCATTATTCTAGTTGTTGACACCAGAAGAAAACCATACCAACGCCTCCTCCCCAGTGCATGTCTGGAACCCTTTGAAATGCTGTTCAATTCCTAGCAAAGAAAGAACCGTGTTGCCCTGACAGGTCTAGGTGACCCACCGGATCTGATTTAGCTCTGACCTGTTAATAGATAATCCATTTCAGCTTTGTAATGGTCAGAAATGAACTGTCAAGTGTTTCTCAGTCAGATTAAGAACCACGTAAGGAAGTGAGGTTACGGACAACTAAAACAGCTGTTGTCTCCCAAACAGTCAGGACTCGTGGCCACTGGCGGTCTCCAGGTAACCTATTTCGCTATTCCACTTCCAAACCTTCAAGGGAAGCGTAAGGTAAGCCAGGTCACTTACCAGCACAGACACCTGCCTGCACAATTCCTCTGCAGTTTAAGCTATTGCCCTCAGCTGCAAAACTGGCCCCGCAGGTACGTTACTTTGCACTGAGATGGACTGGACCAAGCTGGGAAGAAAACTACGAAGTCCATTCAAAGCATAACAGATTGCCAGTCTTTGCTATGAAAGACCAAGCAAGAAGAAAGTCTGCTTCTAGTTGGAATGTGTGGTTAATGCAATTCAGCAATGCAACGCCCAAGAGGCTCACAATAGAAGTCACAGCTTCAGGAACAACCTGGGGATAGACTGTCATGCTTGAAGGACTGTAATATTTTTTATTAGAAAAAGAACAGATAAAATCTATACCTACAAACCTTAAGAACACATTTCCTTTCCTGCTCTCCAACCCAAATTTGGGAGCAGGGCAAATCAAAATCTGCCTGAAATCGAAAAACTACTTGAAAAAGCTACAGGTTGTGCTGCAATGGCTAGGGATAACTTCCAGGAAAAGGGGTATGCTTTTTGTTTTAGCCAAGCGTGCTTACTTGCCCAACTCAGCGTTCCCCTGCAAGTCACTCACCTAACAGCTTCACACTCGGGATCTCTTGTAAACACAGAAAATCCCATTGGTTTGTTACTTCCAAATTCTCGGTTTTGCATATGTGTGGAAACAAAACAAATTAACTACTTTTTGAAGCTTCCACCGTAGAAGCAGAGCTTCTGGACCCAAGGACAAGGAACAGGCATCTTGTCTGACACCACTTTCTTCCTCCTTAGCTAATTACTAACCTTCTGATATTTGTAGGTTAAGTAATTAAGCTCCTATTACATTACGTTTCATTAGAAGAACTTGCTAACTGACTCCCAAATCTAAGCCTTTACTAGTCATCTAATGGTGGACAAGTCCTTATCATTTTTAAAAATCTGTAATTGGTCTTAACAGATAATCTCACACAGACACAGCAGCAGGCATTTGGCCATCATGCTTTGGGCCCTTCTACAGTAATTATTTTCCTTTTGTGAGCACAGCACAGAAATGTGGCAGCCCGGATCTGGTCTGCAGAAGCATCAATTGCATTACCATGTGTAGGGAGGTCTCTGAGAGTAATTACTGGCATACAGTTCCCTCTAGGCTAACACCAGGTTGTTTCAATACAAAGCCCACAGCTTCTCTGCTTACTCTGCTCTTGGTGCGTTCCAGTTGCTCCCGCTGCTCCCCGAGTTCTTCAATGATATCGGTGCCAACCTGATCTGTTTCGGCCGCAATTCGGTGCGAGCGCTCAATGCTCTGACTGGCTCGGTTCAGGCTGTCTGTTCCCTGGAGAAGCAGCACCCTCTGTGACTGCAGATTAGTCTGAAAAATAACATATGCTTAACCGTTAAGCATGAAGACGAAGGCATTAGGCTTCTGACATATTAAAAAGTTAGGATGTGGCTCCACAGGCCACCCATTTGTATTAGCTGTACGTGCTTCTCGTTAACTGATGTGGCCCGGTTAATTTTTAGAGTTCTTGTTCACGTTGTAAGATTATGGCCAAATCTGGTTAAACCTTGAAAAAGGAGGACACACAGCTAAAGAGTTAAAACACTTACAAAAAACCTGTCTTTTCAGCAATTTACTTTTCCATCAAAGAACATTTACATGAAAATAATATCTCTGCTTTCCAGATGCTAACTTCTCTTTCCATTTGTATCTAAATTCAGTCTTATCTGTGACTTCACAGTTGGTTGCCAGGGAGATCAGTAGGAGTTTACAGTCAAAAGGATTAGGAACAAACAGCACTAACAGATGGACTGCTAAGTAACAAAGATCCTCTTTTCATGCCAGTAGCCTTGGCTAGAGGGTAAGGAATGTTTGCTGACCTTGGGGTCAAAAGGTACCTCAAAATAAAGTATTTTCTTAAGCTTCGGGAACTGTAACCTACCGTGCTGCTCTCAGGTTTTAGAGGCACCATTCAAGAGGAATCAAATGCAAAAAGTTACCAAGCTACTGCAGAATGAGACACCTCCCTCAAAGCTTCCTTATCTGAGGCAGACAAACAAAAAACCCATTTCCATGAACTTTCTGTAACAGATGACAGCACTTGGAAGATAATAAGCAGATTCAGTCTCACCAGCTCAGGTAAAACCAAGCATATCTGTATTTCTTGTGTTGTAGCAGCACATTCATAGTGAATAAAGTGCTAGATGGTGACTTCTTACATTTTCTTGAAATTATTTACACTGAGATTGCTTCAAAGAGAATTCTAACAAAGAAACTGTACAGTGCATGATTCACCCACTGTGCTAGTTTTGGCGACTACAACTAGATCAGTTAACTTTTCTTCTCTGTCAGTAGCATACTTTTGTGTTTTCACTGCAGTAGGGGAATAATTAAATAAAGCATTTCAGTACAGAATGGTGTGTAAGTTACTAACCGCATGGCATTCAAGGAGTTCCGCTTTGATTATACTCATATCTTTGTTTTAGAACAGAAAAGATCTCCTTTGAGTTCCAGGTGTTCTTTCTCCTCCCTGAGATATTAATGTTACATGCAGAGAGACATACAGGGAGTTATACAAGCACAGAAGCTAAGTGAATTAAAGTAGAAACACTATAAATAATACATCTGGAATAGTATTTTTAAACAATCAGCAATGTTAAATAAAATTCATATCTAATTCTCACACTCTGTTCATTTTCTGTGGAGAAGATTCCATATTTTATATCGCCTTGACTTGAAGGGCCCAATCCCAAATCTGTGCTTCTCATCTCTCTCTGGAACATGGAAAGGTCTCTTCTGTACGCCCGGATTTTGCTCATCATTTGATTGCGGAAAGGCAGAGGAGCGTACTTCAGTTCTTCCTCCATTTCCCGCAGCTTTAACAAAAGAAAATGTGTTTATTTTTTAAAGCACTAAATCTATTCTTAGGAGCAGCTGTACTCAAAACTCGCCACCAGATGAAGGGACTCACATGTTTTAATGAGATTGGGCAAGGGGGATTAACCCCAAATCCTCCACCCCTCATCTAGTATGGAGTACACCATTCTGCCTAATGGTGTTGAGCACATATGGATTTTCAAATACACAATACCTCAAGAAAAAAAACAAAAACAACAACACAACTGCCAAGCTTAAATGCTTGATTTTTTTCTGAAACATCACTCTCTAGCTTCAGAATTTGCAGTTCTCACTTCCGTATTGTTTAAACATTTATAGGATGGGTGTCAGCTTCTCATCATACCTGTGCAACAGAGGTCTATTGGTAGGCATGCCACTAAATCACACTCTGAACATCTGGGCCTGGCAATCCAATCTGAGCTAGGATTTGTAAACCCTGGGATTTTGGATGCCTGAATTTTCACATCAACTTTTAGTGACAGTTGTTACAAATTCACTGCACTTAGAGCCGTCCACCAATATGAGCTCTCTCGCAATATGAGCTCTACAGCTCATACATCACCTACACAGACAAACTTCAAGAAAACCCTAAGTTAGAGGAACAAAGCATCACATTCAGCTGTGCCTCAAAAACATCCTAACAAATAGCACATTAATATGAAAAGAAAGCTTAATGCATAGTGTCTTGCTCAAAAACCACAAGTCACGTGGTGTTTTTTTGTGCGCTGTTCCATGTCACCTGCTGTCCAGGAAGTCGATACAATAGAGGTTTCAAATATTCAAGGTCCCTGATATTTAACCATCAGACTATTGTAGAAAGATCAGATGGGTTAAGACCAACATGAGAAAAGACAGTAGAGGGGAAAAAAAGAGGTGGCAGATTCTCTACATGCCCTCCTTACAATCTCTTGCAATTTTAATTGCGTCTCTAGTACCATCCTTTGTTCAGAGGGAAGGCAATATCCAAACCGAGCACTCAAAAAAATCCCCCAAAAAGCATGTAATATTTGTCTCTATCTTTAGCTGTATACAGATACATACAATTGTCTTTACAAACACAGACACACCTACCAGATCAATTAATCAAACATTCAAAAATTAGAACATCTGCCTGCCAGAATAGGACCCATAAAGAAAGTAAAATTTGGAAGTACTGTTCTTCTTAAGGCCTCAATATTTCAACCAGGCAGAAAGGCCAGAAGCCTAGACTGATGCGTACCGTTTCATTTGCTTCACGCTGTTTCTCATCAAACTCTCGAACCAGTTTTTTCTTCTCCTCTGTGAAAGAAAAAGTACTATGTCAGATAAACTATAGAGAAATGACAACAGAACTCCAACTCAATCCATTACAGACAAGGAAGCTGCCACAGACAGCTGATTACAGAGACGCCAGGTCGAAATTTACCTTAAACAGGAACAGCCTGTTCTTACGACAACTTTTCAGAATGGGTTGGGGGCAGATAGCAGAAACCAGCCTTCCAAATGCTGGCCAGTACCTCTAGTAGACAAAATAAGTCATTTTTCAAACCTGAAATACTTCTCTGACCTATTATTCTCCAATGACAGAATTGCGTGTTGAAAAACATTTAATATGAAGGAATAACAAAGAGGATAGGTTGGTAAGCAGCTCATAAATATTTCTGTGCCAAATGTACACATTTGGCAAGATTACTGAAAGCTGAAACTATAATTTGGATTTGAGCAGAACACCAAGTCATTTGGTGACACGTTTCCATGTGAGCCCTGAAGTTCTGGGCAGATAGGGCAATCTGCACTCTCGTGGTCATAAAGTAACTAGGTAAACAGGATAAGCATTCTAGAGTATGTGGAGTTTAAAGATGCCATCAATTATCACCTCGCGTTCACAGATTAATGCCCAAATTCTTCCCTCTTCTGCAATGACATCAGTTGTTTGAATCAGCCAACAAAATTATACATTTTAGTTGTTTGAGACAGTTATTTGCTTAGATCCTTGTATCTAGGGCTGCGGAGGCCAAAGAACATGTTTCACCGCCTTTATTCTATTTTTAAACAAAACCTTAAGAAATGTATTTTGCATGTGTTAAAAAAACTATCATACCTCTCCAATATCCACAATCAATTATAGTTCTGAAACTCTCCTTATCTCAATGGAGCAAAAATATATGTTTTACAAGCTTTTGCAAAAGCAGTGAAGACGACCACCAGAGGACTCGACTACTGCGAATGAAACCAAATTCTGTCAGAAGGCCAATAAATATGCACTAGCCTAATTAATCACTCTCAGGAGACAATAATTCAGTCTTAAATAAAATGTTGAGTAGCAAAAAATGCAGACAGTCATCTTGGTAAAACTTCTCTAATTTGATTAAACAAAGACAAAATTAAAGACAACGTTATGAAAACAATGTTGCAGTAAAAAAAAGACTTGATAATACCTTTTTGTAAATATGGTCCTCTGCAAAGGAAGCAGTTTTTAAACCACTGAGCTCTCAACAGAGAACAGGAAAACATTTGAAGCAATCAAAACAATTTTATATAGCTCCTCTCATATACATGACTTGCCTAAGCTGTAGGGTTTCCTTTTCAGTTCACATTAATACTAAGGCCCAGAATTTGAACTGTAGAGAACTGAAAACAGAATTAGAACCCATCATCTGACAAGAAGCTATGGTCCCACGTAGCGCACAGAATTATTACAGACAAAGCTACGTTACGACTGTTAATATATTACACACGAGCTGGTATCAGGAAATGCAGTTTCACGCCCCAGTTCAGTAGGAAATGCTAACTTACAAAGTTCCTAAATACAGTCTCCTCAACTTCTTCCACGATTTGCCACCACATACATCGGTGCTGGTGCAATTATTTGCGTAGCTGGGTTGCAAGTGAAACCATGGCCATGAACTGCAGGAAAACAGCCTTCAGAAGTCAGTATTTTGTTTCATACAGGTCATTTCACTAATCTGATTTCAGTAGTGCCCTCTTAAAACAACAGCTGTCTCAAACTAAGCAAAACCCGGTGCAGTACTGAAAAATCAGTATTTTACCTTCTTTATGTCTCCCAAGCGCATTAAGAAGACACCACACTTATAAGTGTTTTAACCATCAGTCAAAGAAATGCTAGTTTCCAAAAGTCACATAGCAATGGCTTGAGACTTTTTTGTTCCATATGCCAACAAGAAATCAGGCACCGTGTCTTGAAAGTATTATACTGGGTCTGGCCAAACAGAAATGCCAGAATATATTGAGGAGTTTAATTCATGTCACTCCGGATTAAACTGTAACTCAAAGTACATTGAGAGAACTTTTTTAATGCAGGAAAAGTAAAAAGTACCTAAGCCACAGTGACGTTACCCACACGCACATCAACATTTAACTGATTTATTTCCTGTCAGTTAGAAATAGATTCAGTTGAAAAGTACAGCCAACTGAATTAATTTAGAGGAAAGTACCTATATTTGAAGCTGATCCAGGCTGTTTAAAATGCCTTCTTACAAATTTGGAAAGAAAAAATTTGTTTCTAGAGCTACAAATTCGTTATCTTGTTTATACAGTGTGAAACAGCACTTCCAAACCTCTGCCCCTCAAGGATGTCCCAAGGACTACAGATTCCATCTTCCCTCGAGTTTGGGAGTGTGCCAATCATCTTAAAAGAGTATGCAAGGTACCTTTTATCACCTCCTGAAGTTTTCAGGATAAGGTAACTCGAAAAATAAAGATACACTCCCCTCCTCATAAGTACAAGAAAAAAACAAAGCACGTTAGGAAAGTGGAACACCTCCACCAGCTAGGCAAATTCCTGACTTATGTTAAACTCTCTTAGAAATACTTTCCAAAGAGATTACCAGGATTTTTGCAGGAACAAATAAAAAAAATAGAACAGTCATATTAAAATTTCACAGCATGTCTGAAAAATCAGTTTGTAATTATTTATGAGCTATTGGAAAAAAAAAAATCTACAAGCATTGCAAAAATTGCTGCCTGCAAATACTCCATTTAAGCCCATTGCCCAGAATTCACTGCTCAGGACTACCCCAGTTCCATGGCAACTTGACAAAGCTTTACTTCACCAAGAAACCAACCACCCTCCTTTCTACAAGGAAATAAGGATTTCCTACAAGAAAGGGTATTTCTTCTTTTATGCTTTTTATTCTTGTTGATCGCTAGTGAAATTCAGTCAGCTTTCGAAGTTGTCACTTGCAGGTTTGAACATCCTTCTTGTACCAAACTTTCTGGAAATGCTGATGATGAGGACTGCGACCCTGAATTTAACCCATTATTAAACAGAAAGCCAGGTAAGCAATGGAACATTAAGCTTTTCATAGCCTGTGTTATCCAGCACAGGTATATTCTGAACAACCCATTGTTACGATTTTACATCTAAACACATAAAATTGATCAATACTGGGAGAATGACAAGACTATTGCAGAACGTGGCCGATAGCCCCTACTCGCTCTTGCTTACAGCTACAGCAACTCACGGTAACTCTGTTATCATGTTTTTCATATGAAAGAAGTATTTAATCAAGAGATTCAGTGACATTGGTAACATTCTCCTCGTCAGATCACTTCCCCTTCAGGTTCTCAGAATACTGCCAAGTATCAAGAACTGAATTAGAAGCACAATGCCAAGTCCTACGAGTGTTTTACCCACTGGAGTGGTATAAAGAATACCCATAAAATCAGGTTTTGCTTCTAAAGTGTAGCTCGAGACATATGTTTTCTAGTCTGTGCGTAGGTAGTGCGCAAACCAGCATTTTAAAAGTAATTTCAAATGCAAATATTCTCCAGTAAGTCTACAAATGGTTGTGGACAGCTGTGATAAAGACTGCTTTTAGTTCTGCTAATGAGATTTCCAACAAGAGTCCAACAATGACCCAAAAAAAAAGAAAAGAAAAAGACCCAAAGCACAGCGGTTTAGGGAGAGCACCTAGAAACAGCATGAAATAACATCCAACAGACAACTCATCCTCAGAGATGAGGCTGAAGCCGAAAGCCCAGCCCAGCCACGCTTGGCGATGGAGCTGAAATCTGCCAGACAAGAGGAGTGGCTCCAGAGGAATGAAGCGACACACCTGCCTTGCCACTTACGTATTTGGGGCTTTGCATGACCAGGCCTAATGCTCAAGAGCAAAGGGACCAAAACACAGCTGCAACTGAAAAATAAGACACAGTGAAGGCAGACCTAGCAAAGCCAGCCGCCCCCTCCAAGGAGGCCTCTACCGAAAGCCATGCGCTACATTCCTGCAGTTGCCTCGGCAAACGCCATGCCCACACGCAGACTGGCATCAAGGGACTTTGCCCTCCCAGCGGTAAAAACAGGTTTATGGACGGAGAAACACCCCCGACACACCTG